ATTTTTATAATATAAATTAAAATAATTATGGGAATATATATTTATTATTAAGACTATACTCTACTTGGCATTACAAATATTTTGAATTGTTTAATTAACTAAAGGAGCAAAGATTTATTTATACTGAATGATCAATCAAACAATTTGAAACATTTGTAACGTTAAATGAAGTATATATATTAAAATTTAATTTTAATATACATAAAATAAAGAATTTGAATAATACACGCACACATACACACATATATATAATGAATATATAATTTTTATTTATTTTCTTACATTTCGAATATATTAAAAAAATATATATGTGCATATAGAAAAAATAATATTGTAAAGAAAAATAATAGAATTAGAATTGATATTACATATAATGTTACATATGCATATATGATATTACAACATTACATATAATCATTTTCTTGACATATTATCAAATAAGAAAACTATCTATTATTATTTTATATTATATGTTCAAAATGTATTTTGCATAGCTTATATATGCATATGAAACCAGAATTTTCTTTGTTGAATATGTAAAAACAATAAAAATTTTTTTTTACAGAAGTTGAATAAATGCGCAAACAACATGTACAGCAATAACATTGATCCTTGGGAACCTGGCTATGGGCCAGAAAGAAGAAGTCACAATTCTGATTATGACTATCGCAATGATTATGGAAGTAACAGATCACCAGAGTATTCGGAACATCGTGATGTTGATCATCGTGATAGGGATCATCGTAGTCCAGACTATAGAAATCATCGTGGAAGAGATAGGGATCGTGAGAGAGATCGTTCAAGGGATAGGAGAGATCGTAGTAGAGACGATCGTGATCGCAGCTATAGGGATCGCGAAGATCGTTATGGGAGACAAAGAGACAGAGACTCTGTAGAACGAGACAGGGATAGGGATAGGGACAGAGACAGAGATAGAGATCGTTCTAGACGTGACAGGGATCGGGACAGAGATAGGGACCGTAGGGGAAAACGGGAGGATCGGGATCGTGATCGCGACGACGATCATAGTCGAGAAAGTTTGGACTTTGAACATGACCATGGTCGTGCCTATAGCTCGTCCATGGAAGGGATCCACTACAAATCACAATCGCCCAACAACACCATAATGATACGTGGGCTTGCTCAACATATTACTGAAAATGACGTAGGTTGTCAACTTTGTGGCCTAACATATAGTGGCCACTCGATGAGCCAGCATTATAGAACATGGCATCATTATTATCATTATGATGTGTGTATCACAGGTGCGGCAAGACATCCTCAATTGTGGTCTTATGCCTAAGGACATCAGGCTGATTCGAAAAAAAGATACAGGTAACTATTGCATTATATTAACAATTTTAATACATCCTTATGATGTTATTATGCATATGAACTGGACTGTTATAATATTATTACCTACTATGAGATTTATACAATCATTATCTCTTACAAAATTGCATAAACAGAACATGCAAAAAATTATTTTGAAATTTATTATAATATAAATAGATATAGCAAATATTATATTATATATAAAGTTTCAATGAATTTCTTGCAAGGCTATTTATTTAATTTTAAGAGCTTTTGTTTGTAATATTTTAGTACCAATCATATATCTCAAAATTTTGTTAATTTGACTATCGACTATTTATTTATTCTTGATAAGAGGAAAATAAAAAAAAAAAAAAAATGCGAGAGATTTAAAAAGAGAATATTAAGCTACTTGCAAAAAACATAAGAGATAGTTCACAATGAGATTTATTAAATTTACTTTACACAGTATGCACATAATTTTGAATTATATCTACCAACCAAAGTAAAATCATGTTTGAAGCACAATTAATACTCTTTAATAACAAATTCTCAACTGTTACAAGTAAGATACAATAATATAACTTGTAGTTATATAATTATAGGGATACATAACATTCAATTCTTCTATTAGAGTACCCGCTTGTGTTTTACTTTCAGATGTTACATCTGAAGATGTTATTTTAATAGTAATACAACTATGCTTTTTTCTTTTATTTATCTTGTGATATGAAGGGAGCCAATATTATGACCCTCCTAAAGGAAGATCATAAATAAGTATTTTAAAACAAAAAATATAAATTTAAAAAAAAAATCAATATTTGATAGATTCACAAATTTTTCTTATTCTTCCTCAATTTTAAAACTTCATATTTTAAATAGAAACAAAAAAATCTTTCGTATTGCTATTAAAACAATGTCTTTGTTATTAAGTTTTAATTTGATCTACTACTACTATTACAATACTACTACTATTACTACAGACTACGGTATATAAATACGATTAATACATCCGGGATCGCGGTTTTTATTATCAGCATCATTTTGTTCGCAAAAGTCTTTACATCATTCTCGTCCGTTACGTGATAGAAGGATAAAAGAAAAAAAGGCCAAGAAATTTTGCCTCAGCTAGGTTTGATATTTGAAAAATTCCCGGTAATATTAAATTATATATATTGTATCGGTTCACGAAATATAATCGATGAACTGCGGTCTCTCGCACGGAATTCGTTCTGGTGAGATTTAGGTAAAATGGAAAATGAAAGTGAGCGACGAAGCGAAGAGACACACTTCGTTTGAAACTCGGTCTGTCACAATGGTTGGTGCTGTGATTGCCTGCCCTCTCAGAGTAGAGACTTCCAGGCAAAAATGTGGATTAACTCTGGATATGTGTGTATTTGCTCTGTATAGGTGCTTCGCGAGGTTTTGCATTCGTCGAGTTTAACGCGACTCAGGAGGCCGCACGGTGGATGGAGATGAAACAGGTAGAACGAAGTTCGGTCCAGATACTCAACCGATGCGTTGTCGCACGCGTGCCACCGACTGCCCCGTGGCGGCAAGGCACGGTAACGCAGCCCTCTGGCCCTCCCCGTGGCCACGGCTGTGCACCTGTTAAGCTAAACCGTATTTAATTATTTATCTAGGAATTCCCCACATATTTTGCAGACTTTTTCTTAACTCGCTCGCAATATTCGCGCAAATATTAAGTTTACTGAGGGATTTTTCGCCGCGTCGCGTGCTTTTACTTGTCCTTTTATCATTAAAGAGTTCGTCAACTAACAATGAAGATCGGAAAAGGGTCATTCCAGTCGTCTTATAATATCGCGTTTTGATCGTGCATTGTACTCTGACATGTGACGGATTAATTTACAAACCATAATTTTTATGCTAATCGCGTCATCCGCTTTTCTGTCATATTATTTGTATCTTTGCTTCTTCCGTTTCGCTTGGTTCTTGATGCGATTATTGATTAATGACGTTTTCGAAGTTTTTATAAAGATTATGCACGAATTTTTTATTTACATAACAATTCACACATGCAAGTGATGCATCATGCTGCTTGCTTGCACTTATGGAAATTTGAATATTACGATCGTTTATATGAATCGCGCATGAGAAAACAAATCGGTCTGCAAACGGTGTGGAATGGCCCATGTTAATAAGCCAACGAGGCTTTGTTCGCTCGAGACAGAAAGCTATGAAGTAGAAAACTATAATATTTCGTCAACCAAGAAGGAAGTTTACGGGAAAAACAAGAGGCCTTAGGAAGACGTTGGACGGGATAACACTGAAATTCTCTGTTTCAGGGAGTGCTGATGCTGCAGGACCAGTATCGCGCATTGATGCAGTACAGTATCCCGAAAGAATGTCATGTGGATAAACCACCAGCCAAAAATACACAGGATTGGCATTGTGTTAAGGTTTGTATCACTTTGTTTCGGCTTTTTTTTTTTGTAGAAATATTACGTATTCACGAATAACGATACATTTATTTTACACACAGTGTGGAGCACACAATTTTAAACGACGTGAGACTTGCTTCAAATGTTCCGCTTCGCGAGCGGAGAGCGAGGAAGGCGGAGAAGGCAGCGACGAAATCAGTCCTCATCCCACGAACACCGTACTTCTACGGGGATTAGACGTATTAACGACCGAGGATTCGGTTCTACAAGCGATGAAGAATTTGTCATCCATGCCGATACGCAGTATTCGCATCGGTCGCGATTCTCTTACGAATACATCTCGTGGAGTATGCTATTTGGAAATGGGCAACGTAGTGGATGCGATGTACTTGCATACTGCACTCACAAAGCAAGGACTGGTAGTCGACGGCAGAAAGGTGGAGATAACGTATTGTAAGCTTCATCAGATTAATAACACGAACGCGTGGAAGTCGAACGATGCCCAACCGCAGAGATATACCCTAGACGACGTGGCCCAATTGGCCGAATACAGTGCCAATTTGTATGCCAAAACACCTGCGCAAAAGGCCCATTACCTTCAGTATTACACACAGTACTATCAAAATCAGATAATGCAGGGCTCGGCGATCACATTGCCGTCTCTAAATCAGACAGATCGAGTAAACGCGGCCGCGGCGGTGGCACAGTCCGCTATACAACAATTGCAGGCATCCAGGAAATTAGGAAGCGATGCCGATGACGTAAAGGGGCGACCAACTCCTACAGCACCATCTAGTACAACGTTAGCGAGTGGCAGAGTTCCTGCACACTCCAGCGATGGAAAAGTATACTGTGAGTTTTCTCAAGAATAATACTATTTAAATCTATTTTAGATAATTGAGCTTTATAAAATACTATCACGTATAATTATCATTTAGCTGTACCGGACGTCAGCACTTATCATTATGATGAATCATCTGGCTACTATTATGATCCTAGTACGGGATTATATTACGATCCGAATTCGCAATATTATTACAATAGTCATACACAACAGTTTCTTTATTGGGACGCCGAATCATTCTCTTATCAACCAGCTAAGGTAAAATCTTTAAGAAAAGATTTTTGTACATCATGAAATTAGTTTAAGAATACTAATACGAAGGACATTTTAATTTTTACGTTTTATAGACCACTGCGAGTACGACGCAGGGTGCTGCAAGTACAATAACAGCAACAGCAAGCGGTACAGATTCCGCGACCACAATCGGCAATCAGGCTACGACTTCATCAGCCACTAATATGGCTCAAGAGGCGTCGAAAGAGGATGAGAATAAAAAGAAAGACACCAAGCAGGATAAAGTGAAAGTAGCGAAGAAGATAGCAAAAGACATGGAACGTTGGGCTAAAACGTTGAATCAGAAAAAGGAAAACGCGAAGAATAATTGGAACTCGGAATTTGCCGGTGTAGACGGCAGTCAGGGCATTGGTGGCAGCGGTGCGGCGGATGCGGGGTACGCCATTCTGGAAAAGAAAACCATTGCGACTCCTTATCACGAGGATGAAGATCAGAGTGGTAATGGATTGGTAGCCGCTTACGGTGGTGGTAGCGATACGGAGGAGGAGATAGAAGATGTCCAACAAGAAGAGAAACAGCATACTGATTGGAGTAAGCTGGCATGTTTACTCTGCAAACGACAGTTCCCAAGTAAGGAGGCGTTACTCCGGCATCAACAGCTGTCCGATCTCCATAAGCAGAATCTGGAAAATTGGTATCAAGTACGCGGTCTAGATCCTAACGATCCGCAACAAAGGAACAACAAATACAGAGACCGTGCTAAAGAAAGGCGAGCCAAGTATGGCGAACCTGAACCACCGCAACCCAATAAATTGAAAGAGAAATACTTAAAAACCAGAGTAGAGGAGATGTCAGTGTCTTACGAGGAACCTACGCGAGCCGGTATCGGATCAGACAACGTCGGCAATAAATTACTGCAGAAAATGGGCTGGAGCGAAGGGATGGGCTTAGGAAAATCTAATCAAGGTAGAACGAGTATTATTGAAGCCGAAAGACGCGTCCCTACGGCTGGATTAGGAGCGAAGGCTTCGTCGTATAGCGCATTACCGGGCGATACTTATAAGGACTGCGTGAAAAAGATGATGTATGCGCGATATCAAGAACTATCTGACACGTAATAGGTAAGATATATATACACACTATTATAATAAATTTATATATATATACATATAAGTTTACTCGTACTCGATTTTCCATAGACACGTAATTACACACGCTCGTATTGTTATTCGAATACTGTAGTTACTTACCAATAATTGCACAGTGATCAATTCTTGGAACTGTGTGTATACTCTATGCAATATATACGCATTTCATATATCCTCGTTCTGTTCTCATGCTTCAAGATAATGGCATATTGTATAAATTTCGTTTTCTTTTTTGTAATATATAAAAATACAATGTACTGTCAAGATTCATACACATACACACATACACATATGCCATTTTCTACTTTTATTTATATAACGGCGGTGTCACACTTGCGAAAAAAGAGTAACTCTCTCCTTTTAATCCTTTTAATTATATTATTCCTGATTTTTTCAAGAGTTGTGATTTTTGGTATAGAAAAAATGAATCACTCTGTTGAAATAGTCTATTATGAATTGTGTTACGTCATTGTTCAATGCAATAATGTTCTTCGCCAAGAATATAATATGTACAGTTGAATGTATATCAGTATAAGGTATATTGGTAAAAAAATTGATGCTGAGCGTATCTGATCATGAAAAATTCTCTTTAAAGTTGTAAGCAATACAGAACATCACAAGTTAAATATTTTGAAGCATAATAAAATATTCATTGATCTAATGAGCGAGTTGTACGAACAATATCACTTTACTATGAATATTGTTACACATTATTAGAAATATTCGTACTTTTTTAATATGTTCAAGAAGAGAAATAATATGCCTTGCTTCGCAAAAATGAAAAAAAAAAAAATACACAATCTATTCCTCTTATTATCCAAGATATTTCAATTGATCTTTATTAACGCATCTTATATTTATTATATCGTATAATGAAATGTAATAAATTCCTTCAATCTAATTATATCAAACTGAATATAAAGATATATTTTTGGATATTATATTTATTAATGTATACATTTTTTTTTTCTTTTTTTTTTTTTTTTTAATAATTTTTTTTTGTACAATTGAAAGAATATATACACATTTCTAACATCATTCTTACAATTTATTACTATTTTTCTAAAATTATCATGCGAGATTCATGTATTTAATAACATCAAGAAGAATTAATAAATGTACATGCGACATATATTATTGCTCGCATGATGGAAACGCGTGGATATTTTCTATATAATTTATTAACTTTTCTAAACTTGCTTATCTGACTCGATTATCATTCTCATTTAAAATCTCTTTTTCTAGGAACAATTATGATCGAGTAACACAATATTAGCAATAAAGAATAAAAAGTATTCAATTGTAAAGCCTGTCAAAGATTATATAAAAAGAAATACTTCGATACAGTGGTTTTAGAACAATTATCTATAGAACTATAAATATATATCACGATATACATATTTTGTTAATATATAATTTATAAATTTAATCACCTCTATTAGTATTTTTCGAGGTTTATTACAAATTTTAAATATGTAATGAAGGGATATTTATCTGAAATAGAAATAGAGAGAGATATATGCTCTTAATAGAGCATGTATACATATATATTAATACTATAATATGTATTTTCACATGAAAGTCAAAAAAGTAGAACACACTGGAATGTTAAATATTACTTTTTTTTTTTTTTTAGAATCATACTTTAAGCTTAGTAAAACAATAAAATTTTGTATTTCATCGTTTTAAATATATTCCTTATATAATATACAATATTTTTTAAAAATATTCACAAAATGTAGATCAGTATGGTGTTACACTATATACTAGTTGTCTTATTTATATCTACATTTTTATTTCTACAGTCGTTTTCTCTTTAATATTTAATAATAAATTAATACATACACATTTTATTGTTTTATAATACTTCATTGTTATAATATGACACACCTTATATAATAATTTTATCACTATCATCTTTATTATATTCAGAGATACAAACCAAGAAAAACGGAGATTTATAATAAGTTGTTACTATAATCGTTAGTAAACTCGTTAGTGAACAATATTAGAGAAAATTCTCTAATTCAATCATATTTAAATATTTATACAATATTACATCAGACTTTGTTTTATAACAGAAAAAAATTATTTTATATCTAAAACAATTAGGAACAATCACAATGTACCAAAATCACTACATTATTATAACACAAGAGGTACATAAAGACCAGAATCTCTTTGAGCATGTATAAGGTAAGTATTATATATCTTACAACCAAAGATTATATAATATACTTTTTATTATGAAATGGATTCTTGTGCCATTAAATAACTACAATTCTTTTATGTATATAAATATGATGAAAATATGAGATTAAATAATGATTTAGAGAATGAAAGTATATTATGTATCTTCAAGTAATATTGCTTCTTATTTTGAGGAATTGTGTAAAAAAAATGGCTTTTTTCATGATTACAGTCTTCAACCCTTATCAATTATATAACTAGATTATTATCTTTTGTACAAACTGTTAACTAATTACAAACTATTAATTTATTAGTGCTATTGAAAAAAAGCATTATTTTGATTGTAAAAAGTATTTGTTGCAGGCTTAGAATTTTCCAAATCTAATACACAAAAGTGCAGTAGTATTTTAATCATCACTAAGTAATATTGCGAGATTTAATCATATACTCTATCACAGCATGCCATCAATTATATTTGTTCGATTAGTATGTATTCTGTATAAGATAAAATTTTTTGGTGCTGCTGAAAAATAATAGTATGCTATTGTAACTTATAATCATAGCCAATTTATAAAGAATATGTGCAATATATATATATATCTTATAAAAAAACTTATATAAAAATTACACATCGGCTAAAATCCAAGAGTATAGAGGTCGTAATTGATGGTTCAATACTCTGTATTCCAAATTGTTAAGTCCATCAGTATCGTACCTACGAGCACCATTCTCCAAATTCGCGAATCTTGCGGTGCTGGGAGGTTCCTTCTTATGTGTTAGCATATAATACTGCGCCACATCAGGTCCAAAGCGTGTAATCTGCCAAACAAAATCAATATATAAGTAACTTGTAAAAATCTATCTCGTCACATGATTATATACTGAACTATATTGCTCAAACCTGAAAACCTCTGAACTGTAAGCGACTGTAAAAGTCATCGTCCTCTCCGCCCCAACCGTAGAAAACATTGGAAAATCCATTCACTCTTTCGAATTGTTTTCTCGTTAATGCTATTGCACCCCCAAACAGACCTGTATAAGGTAGATTATATCGAAAAGTATTTACACTGGAACTCATGTGTCTGGGCATTTTAGTGCACGCATAGATATTATCGAGATTCTGCGGTATCAGATCTATGTCTTGGAAAATGAAACAGTGAAAGTCATTGATTTTGGTGGCCTCCGCGTAACCGACGTTGAAGAGCTTGGCGCGATTAAACTCGCGCATCGGGCTCTGCTCGATGACGAATATCCGATAGTCCAGATTTTGCGCTTGCAAAAACGGATGTATATAATTCATGAAAACAGCAAGCTGACTCTGCCGGTTGCGGTATGGCAATATGATGGCAACGTTGAAGAGCGGGTGACAGTTGAGAGGCTTCCATTGGCCACCCGGTAGTATACCGAGTCGTCGAGCCATCGCCACCGGATCCTCCCGGGGATGCTCCTCCGGATAGAGCAATTGAGAGGACCGTCTACCGTTAACGGATATCACGCAGGAGTTATCCCTCGGCGGATACGATCTTTCCATCTCCTCGTAAATATTCTCGGTCTTGATGAAGGTGTAGTGGGAAGCGAAACGCGCCGGATGGAGGCAGTAACATAATACGAGTATCGTCGTTACCGTGTAAGACAACCCGCGCGCATAATCGTAAAAGAACGCGACGAGCATCTTGAAAATATTGACGAAGCTTCTCATCCTCCTAACCTAAATTCGATCGTCGACAAACATCAATGTACTCAATATAAGCGATTCCCAAAGAAACGCGTTAGAATCGCGATTGGTGCTTTCCTCTGATTTTTGTACGGACACATGCGTGCTTACTAATCGACGATGTGATTTCAGAAGAGAAAAATTCGTGCATTTAAAAAAAACTCGAGTCACAGAATTGACAAATAAACTGCAGACGACACAGCGGACACGAGCAACAGAAGAGATGCATCGGCGCATGCGCGAATAATCAAGTGGTCGTAAAAATCAGACGAGTGTAATATATATCACAAATTCATACTATGAAATAAAAAATGCATACTAAAAAATACTAAGGAGGAGGGAAAGTAAATTATCACGATAAATTGTATCAGTTAACACTTTATTTAAACCTCTTAATTGTTAACTTTGATAATAGGATTTATGTATTAGATAATTTATATTGTTGTCTCGAAACAACACATAAATAGAGAACCTATATAAATAAACACCTTTATAAAGGTAAGCTCCTGTTTGTACGATAACGCGATCATTCTTATTTTATATACATTCGTCAATGAACCAAGATAGCACGCGGTGCTCCGTTCGGTTTAATCACTTTAGGTATATTAAGTTGATGAAAAATATCCAGCGCGTCTTGCACAAATTTATCCATCATGGCTCGAGTGTGTCCTGGTGTTGGTGCTAATCTTAATTTCTCTTCACCCTTTGGAACAGTGGGATAATTTATAGCTTGTATATAGTGTCCTTTGTCATTTAATAAATGGTCCGCTATCTGACTGCATAACAATGGGTCTCCTATCTAAAAAAAATATACATATTTATGTTAGTAATTAATAATTTTTATTTATATTAATAAATTTTAATTATAATCGTTTAATTATAAATTACCTTTATAGGAATGATGTGAGAGGGCGATGGTTCGATTGGAAGACCTGCGGCAGTAAGAATAGATTTCATATAGGCCACATTGTTCTGATGATTTGTCCTTAATGACCTGCCTTCGTTCGATGCCAAAATCTCGACGGATGTCAAGGCTCCATGCAATACAGTAGGCGGTAATGAAGTGGTAAAAATAAAACCGGCAGCATAACTTCTTATCATATCTATCAGATTCGTGGAACCAACAATGTAACCGCCGCAATTACCAAACGCCTTTCCCAAAGTACCGGAAATAATATCCATCTTATCAAGTATACAATCTCTCTCGCCGATACCAGCGCCCGAATGACCATACAAGCCGACCGCATGAACTTCGTCAATGAACGTTATTGCACCGTATTTATGCGCGACATCGCATAATTCTTCCAATGGACAAATATCACCGGTCATGGAATGCACAGTCTCGAATGCCACAATCTTTGGCACGCTTTTATCTACTTTTGACAGAAGCTCTTCCAAATGTTCGACGTCATTGTGTCGGAATACATGCTTTGGCACGCCGCTGTTTTTTATGCCCTGTATCATAGAGGCATGATTTCCGGCGTCGGAAAATATATGACATCCTGGCAGTCTTTTTGCTAGCGTGAACAAAGTAGAATCATTGGCGACGAAGCAGGAAGTGAAAAGCAAACCAGCGTCCTTCTTATGCAGCAGCGCCAGTCGTTTCTCCAACATTATATGAGCGGTAGAGTTGCCCGAAATGTTTCTCGTGCCTCCAGCTCCAGCACCGTATTTTTCTAAAGCTTCTCGGACTGCATTAATCACCATGGGATGGCGTGACATCCCTAGATAATCGTTAGAACACCATACGGTAATAGCTTTCTTGCCACAGGAATATTCTAAAGCTCCTGGAAAGTTTTCAGCTAGACGATTCACTTTTTTGAATATCCTGTATGAATGATCTTTCTTTTTTCGCATAATTTGCTCATGGAAAAATTCTTCATAGGGAAACTGGACTTCTTCCTTTTGATTATCATTTATGCTAATAACATCTTCTTCCATTGCAGGATTGGCTTCCTTAACAGCGTTCCGTTCTCTGGACAAGAATGGGCATTGATTTTGTATAGACTCTGGAATTGGTTGAGGCTCCACTGACTCTGACATTGTACTGAACAATCTTGACAGTACTGGACAATGTTGCCGATAGTTCATTATCAGGGATGATCCATAATTACGAACATAATTCGCAGACAAACGAGTCAAGAATGGGCACGGCATGGCTTTCAAAAAATCTAAAAGATACATTGATTCATATAATACATGAAATGAAAATAAATGATAAAATAATCGCTAAATATATCAACACATTTTAAAAATACTTCACTACAGTGTTCTAAAGTTAGATATTCTTAGATAAAACAAAATAAAAGTGTAAAATGCAATATATATAAAATAAATGTAATATATGTATTAAAAAAAAAAAAAAAAAAACGGGTAGTATATGTATAGCGTGACAAAGCATCTCATATCAATTCTCGGTCGCGACCTGAGATAGTCGCCAGAATATCCGATCTCTTGGGAGTTGCATAATTTGCACGCGAGAAAATGAATGGAAAAGCAACTACGTTAGATAAGTAGTAATCACATTTGTTTAGAGTTTAGAGAAATAAATTTTAAAAAATCGCAGTAATCATGTCGGCTGTGCGCGAGGTGGAAAAAGAGAAAGTGACAAATGACATAGCATATCTGTGTCTGCAGGTATATAGTTCATACACGCATACATTACCTTTCGTGACGTTAATGGTACGATTACTAGCACCGCGTCGGACGTATTGTCGGATCAACTGAAAGCAGGAAACGTAGACGCTTGAACGTTGCCTTAGTAAGGTTGCGGGTAAGAATATATGGCAAAAGAACCCTGATCCAGAAAATTCAACTGGTTCTTGAAACGAGCGAAAAAACAAATCTCTACGTCTAGACGGCTCGGCAACTGGCCCGCCACTAACACTAACCACTGACGCGATAGCGCGATACGCGATACGCGATGACGCGACAAACGTACTAGCGTTTGCAAAAACATCAATTCGTGATCTGAGAGTGTCGATTTCGATTTCGAAAGCCAAGGTGCTATGTACGTGCTTAGACTTCGTTTATTCGATTGATTCAATAAAAAGTTCTGGCCAAATAGATTGTATATTTTATGTAATGACACATTCGTATTTTTACTATTCGTATTTTTGCGCATTTAAAATAAACATATCCTATCGATTATGTAATATAATAAAACACTCAATGTAATTATGTAATAATAATTTCTTTTCCTCGCATATATATATAATGTGAGAAATTTATACTTTATAGTGTGTATATGAATATAAAACGATATCACTTTTAAATTATTAGAATTAAGTGATCAAGTTTTGATACTTATAAAAATCGACTACTATAAGAATCATATGATCTAGTTTCCTTAACAACATATATACATTGACATTGAAGATATATTTATATTTAGTTAAGGAGATATTCAAATATTAAAAAGAATACATATTAAATCGAGTTTCCACATACAGATGTTCATATATATTAATATGAAATGATAAAGATAATATATATTTAAAAAATTATACATTTAAAAAGGATATTACGTATTTAAGAACTTATATTAATGCAAAAAATTGTTTAAATTTAGTTCAGTTTAAATTAGCCTTCCAGCACACATATATCTTTACAAATAAAAATAATACAAATAATGGGGTCGAGTATTGTTATTTATTATTATGAATTTAATGACCAAGTTTTTTTACAATTGATAATAAAATGCAAACGCAATTGTATTTGAAATTTCATATTTACATAATTTATTTTAATCGCCGTATTGCGTTTATGATCTTTTGCATTTAAAAAAATGGATTCTACGTAATATCGTATATATGAAAATAGAATTTTCTGTAATAATTCTATTGAATCTTTTTTTCGTTGTCATCTTAAGTCTATCTTCTTTTCTTTAATTGTTAATTCTATAGATTAAGGATTATTTTTTCTAATATCGATTAATTTTAATTTCAGCTAATCTTTTTAGGTATTTTTTTCTCTATTTATATTATATAGTTAATATTTAATTTATAAAGAAAAATACCAGAAATGTATCTGTCGAATAAACTATATTAGATACTTTATTTAATAAGTAACACAATAATCTTAAATTTATTGAAATCCACTATCTGCCGAGGAGAATCCAAAATGTAAAAAAGTACATTCATAATAATAATATATATACTAATAATAGCAATATATACAAATAAAACGATAATAATGCGCCAGAATTTGAAATTTAAATCCATTATTGCCTTATCACTTACCATGCTGATTTTGGTAGATAAACTCGTGAACGGACGTTGATGATCGATGGTTTTTCCTTCAGTTGGCGAGAGCGAGATTTCTTTTGATTAATATTACTTTTAGTTTTGTTTTAATTTCAAATCTTAATTTTTTTTTAAATATTACCGTGGCTATATGACATATACGAGAAAACTCGAACAGTTTGTGCGTGAAGTTACTTTGGTGCAATCGTGTTTCTCAAACTAACTTGCTTTCTGAACGTTTCGAATCTCAATGAGAGAGCGAGTGGAACGTCGTCGCATTTTTCTTATTTTTGCGACCTCATCATTAACATGTGCTGCCGATTGAACAAGGATACCATCGTTTCTATTCACGTCGTTTTGTAATGACATCAGCGACAAACAATATTACAATATTCAAATCGTAAAATGGGCATTCTGTTTTAGTTCTATCAAAAAAAAAAATGATAATAATAAAAGCGAAGTAATATATATATACATGTCTCTTTGCCCATCATATAATATTTGCTCTTCTGAAATTTATATTTATTATTCTATATCTGAAAATGTTAATCGATTGTTTTAAATACGTAAAAAACTAAAAAAGATGTTTTTAAAATTCTAATTACACAGACTATGCATGAAAATTGAAATAAAAATTTAAAAAAGACTGCATATGTAAATATAAAATGTTGAATATGGAAAATCAAGTTTTTTGCTGTGACATTCTCTTATCCAATATATTTTTCTTTGCGTAAAATATATATTATTTCCGTACAAAATAAAAACTTTTATTTTATATTTATATTTTATTTTGTATAATTTATTAATGTTAGAATTATATAAAAAATATATATATACTATTTATATATTTCATTATTTATTAATATTAAATTATTTTTTTGTGCAACAAAATCCAAAATTTAAGCCGTTTTTTATTACATACAAGATATATGTCTATTGTTTAGTTATGCGTATTTTTTTACAAGATATGTCTATTGTTTAGTTATGTGTATCTTTTTATAGTGTGTTACATAAGAAATCAGATGGAAATGAAAACAATTCGAAATCATATTTCCATCGCGAAGTACATATGTATAGGAACGCGACAAAACGTACAATAAAAAGTTCATGGATGAGTAAGCACAACGCGGAAATATTGGTAATATAGATAAAATGTTCTAAGAATTTACTTGCAGTTCTTTTCTTTTCAATCTGGGAATCCCGTCAGAGGCGAAGAATTAAAATGTATCGCGTGTCAAACTTATTTAGTTTTATTTAGAAGCATATTATTCTGGAATGCATTTTATACTAGAACAAAAGGTTATAATAATAATGTTATATAAATAATGATAAATTATAAATATAAATCACAAAAGTTTGAAAAAAAAAATACTTTCTTAGGAAACAAGTATAATGCAGACAACCGTCAACGTTTTACAAGCAATTTCTGCGATGTAATAATTTATTTACATACAATTTCGACTTTTTTGCATTAGCGTTGATAGAAGTGTAACATATCCCAATGAGCAGACAATATTTTTAAAGATGTTTAAAAAAGTTTTTGAAAAACATTTTCAAAAATATTGTCTTGTTCATCGGGATATAGCATGAAAAATAATAAATGCGTCACGTATAAATAAAGAAGAAAAGATATTAAATCATTATTTACTCCCTCTGTATGTTACATCTGAAACATCAGAGCGACTTTAGCTATTATGTACAATTGGTAATAGAAATTTCTTTATCTCGGTTATACCATCAAATGGTAAATCGATCATTCTATGTAGTAATAAGAGAGAAAGAGAGAAAGAGCCCAATATGCAATTTAAAAGGCGCCACATCCAAATATTGCAATGCACCCGATAGTCTTCGTAATCAGTGCCGCGATAAATCATTTGTCAAATCGCAGCTGCGATTTCAATTCATTTCAATTAATTAATAACGCGCAATTCCGTTCTCCGATGATTCGCGTTACACGCCCCACGCATTTATTATACTTATTTGTCATTTTTATTGCATCCCCATCCACTCTTATTCATATTAGCTGCAAGGATGCGTGTAGCAAGAAAACACTTATCGGAAAAGATATTTTTTTTTCAATTCACAGATTATCGCCTGTAACGTGACGCAGAGTGCGTCGAGTGATCGCGAAATTTTGCGAAGGATTTAAGAGATTAGTAGCTTTGATCGCGCGTCTCACGCAGATTCCCAGATTAGTGCATTAGCATCGTTGGCACGCTGGAGTGAAACGTCATCGTATGGTGTGCGTGCACGATTCTCGCATTCATCCAGGTTATGTTGCATTGTGTTTATCGCTTGTCAAATATACGCAAAGAGAGCAACAAATAGACGACAATGTGACCTTCGACCAATTGTGCGCGTAAACTATCTCCCTTGTTGAAGTGTTACATTGCACTGCAAACTGCAGACGCGTCATATCGCAATGATTTATTTTCTATACAACGTGATGACGACGACGACCTGCTGAGTTCCATGATTTTAATAATAATGATAGCTTGATAGAACGCAATCGAAATTCGTCATGGCAAGTGCGAGGAGCGAGGTAAATTCATTAATTACATTGTGATAGCTTTTTCCCTTGTCGCCGTCTTCAACGAGAGGAATAAATATAACCTCTTCTTATGACTAACATGTATCTGTCAATATTGTGGTAATAGCAATATGGAATTTTAACGATACGTAATTTACAATTTTTGACAGGATAGCTGGCAATATTATATTTTTTCTTTTTACAGGATAAAACTATTTTAGAGGCAGAGACCATTTTTCTATTAATGAAGAAAGGTTTTCCCATCTCTCGCAATGTAAGAGCTCAATGGCTGCTGGAACATTTGGATTCTGTGATAAGCGTACAGTGTCCAAGTATAAAAAATAAAGAGATACCAGAACTAGAAATAATATCAGTGCTACCAAAAGATAAGCCTCCTTCTTGGTCTATAGATACTAGCCATCAGTTTCTTTATAAAGTTGTTTCAACAACTTCAATTATATTTCTGGCGCACAAATACAGGATAGTTTTTAGTTTAGATTTAAGCCCGTCGCTTGCCACTGTTGTAAGTAAAACAAAATTTATTATTTTGTTATAATATAATTTTTATATAGTAGCAATTATAGAATTAAAATAAAATAAACTTTTTTTTTTGCTTTTAGGACATACAAAATGGAGAGATTGTTATTGATGAGGTATGCTTGGCAACAAAGCGGTGTCTTGAGGGTATAACTAAACCAGTAAGTATTTTCTTTTTGATATATTGCAAATCGTATATATAAAAAAATTCTGAATTCTTATTTATGCTTATAGTTTACGATACCAGGCAGCAAGCGTATTATGCAACCTGAGATTTATGTGACTGTGATAGCTCATACGCCATTCTTCACAACCCCAGCACAACAGGTATTAGTACAAGGATGGTTGATTACTGCAGATAATGTGAATTCTCTCACACAATATATAGAGAAACAGTTGTACCTGTTGGAGGAGAGAGTGGCAACTGTTACATCTATAGCTAATCAACAGTTGGAAAATTTAAGAGCCGAGAGTGAGCGTTTGGTAGGAAGGCTTTTTGAAGAAAGTAGCAATTGTTTAAATAAAAATAATTGTAATATCTCCATAGTCTCACCGGAAGCCAGTTTTGTAAATATGCTGAGATACGGAATGCTGGCTCTAACGCTCTTACCCGAGCACAGCTGTGCACGTGAGTTTGTAATTTATGCATAAATATATTTATACAATGGATTTTACATAAGCTGCATGCGTTATACAATATAATAACACATTGAAGAACGATGAGTGCAGAAAGAAAAATTTTTAGACATGATAATAGTCACGGACGGTATCATTGGAATCAAGAACGCTCAAACATTAGATTCCATTATACAACAGTTACGCGCGACAACGGTCGCGTGTAGCTTTTTATGCGTAGGTAGTACGTATGATCCACATTGTGCGGATGGTTTAGTGCCATATCAAGATTTATTATATTTTATCGCCGCGGCTACACTCGGTAGCTATATATCCTTCACTTCGTACATTGTATGTAAACTTTTAATCTCTATACTTCTGCATTTCTGTTGATTCGTAATTGCAATGCATTGTTTTTATCTATGACCAGGTACCTGCACATGCAACAGATATGAATTTTTATCATAAACATTTTTTATGCTGGCGATTATATCGGGATGTATTTGATGATACATCAAATCGTCACTCTTGTTGGCGAACCGAAAATAATTGCTTTCATGGACATAAAACTGGTCAGCTCTTGAGGAAGAAACAAATCGATGATAAAGTTACTTGTACCTTAAGCAGTTTGCTATGCTGTCGTCTAAGAGAAGGATACTTGATAAAGAAGGCTAGTGTACGAGATGACATTCTTGAAATAAGTTTCGTGCTGCTATGGAAAACCAATGTTTTCTTGGAATATCTTGTAACGTGTCCTTGGTCCACAAAATCATTGTCTCTATCTAATGTGATACAATATACCATTACCATAGAAGGTAAACTAAAGACAACATTAATATGTCGAATTACATAACTACATATCTATACAGTAGTCTGGGTTATAAAACCGATCTTTTATTACAGCACCATATGAATTTTTACATGATATTACATGCCTATCGAAAAAGCCGTTGAATTCACATTATCGTCAAAGTGTCATTTCTCGTTTTTGGACGGCGTTAACGTCATTAACCGAAAGTGACAATATGTTAGCGCACTTCAGCTGGTTTCCAGGATCTGGATGGACTTGGTATAGCGTACCAGATACTATCAGAAGCGGGATGCCAGTGTTTTACTTGTCGTCTTATCCATCACCAAGTACAGTACAACTTAGGTATATTTATTTTATTGTATAAACCATAATATATATAATAGAAACTCATGTATGACTATGACAAATATCCAAAATAAAGAACGTAATTACATTTGTGTATCATTATTTTAGTGACGCTGGCTGCCCGCAGTTTGGACAGATATGGCAACCGGTCGTCTCCTTGGATCCACTTCAATGGGCGCGTTGGATGCACACTCAGAGGATCACGTTGATCCTAGCTTATGATAGACCTTTGCCGAGACATCTTCACCAAGCGAACCAGAGTGGTCGTTTCCAATGCGTGCAAAGTCGGCAAGCCGCGGCTGTGCTATATGCTATGCTGAAGAATTGGGCGACTTTTGTGCTAGTCGAAAATCATACGTATGTTCAATTCATATATAGAGAAGCAGAGAAACCGCCAGTGTCATTCTCATTGATTCGTATCAATTGCAAAGCACTCTGTGTTGTGCTTAATATAGCGTTTGCTGGCGGCACCGAGGGTGTCGTCCGCCACAATGTAGTTGTGGATCTCGTAGACAGATTATCTAAACTCACATTGCCGAATAGACCAACGGAGCAACGTGAGATTCCATGTTGCACGATAATACATAAATCGCTCGAAAGAATTCTCGTAAGATACGAGCGTATACCGAGCAATCTGAGTATGGTAGTATTTCCCGACGGGACTCAACCGACCTGCACTAGGACTGCGCTGGGACTATTAGGAAGTAGTTTAACAATCACCTTGTCCAGATATTTATATCACAATCGATGGCTGTGGCACGTAAAGCGGCCGTTTGTTCAGACTATTCCGGGAATTACTTTACCCAGATTAAATATCACTGCGATTGCGAGAATACTCTCTACAATTACAAAGTAAATACATCTAGAAAATGTTATTGGAATTAAATAAAGAATAGTGTGAAATATATCTATCTATTTGCAGAATACGTTTGGGTGAAGGCTTTAATTTTGCGTATTCGGCAGCTGGTATCACAAATATGGTGCTGGAGGTACAAATGCAGGGCTTCGGAAACGACGAGAACTTTTATCCATGTATTATTCAATATGTTTTGTTTCCGCCTCACGTTGTGCCGAATGCGGCATTAGAGCGCGATAGTGGCACCGAAGATGACACAGAAGAAGGTAAGAGTTTATTAAGATTTATTAGTGTTTATTAGTCAAATAAATAATTTTATAATTTGATTATCAATTTATTTGTACGATAAATGTGTACTTCATATATTAGGTATCGGTGAAGCGGAAGTGTGGACTGAAGATTCTGAAGGTTACAGCGATTTTCAGATTGTTACAGAGGTTTGGGTTGAGCCTCAATGTGGCTATGTACAGATGCCTACACAGTCGACTGCCATATATATGCATCCTTTGCAATATCATCAATTACCCGATGCAGTGAGTACAGTATTTATATTACAACTACTGAAAATTTTGTTTTTATTTTTTGTTTTTATGTATGTTGGCATGTTTTCATGTATTCATATTCGCATCAAAATGTACACAGAAAAGTGTAATAATTGTTCAGTTATCATATTATTTATTAATGTTTTTTTGAACATACATATTAAAGAAAAATGCATAAAACATTTTTTTTATTATCAATTTATTTGATACTTGATATTTATTTGATTTACAAATTAAATTATCAGATATTATACTTTTTTAGTGTTTAGCCTTCTCTAATAAAGAAAGTTTAGTATATTATAAAACATTCACGATCTTGCTTAAATCGATAAGACACGGTTAATTCCGTCATGTTTCGAACACGTCTTGAGAGTGATAAGATATCTTTATTCGATGTTTCTGCGATATACCTGCGATACGTGTTTTATGAAGCAGTAGAAATATTAAAAATTGCTAATCGTGGATGTTTATGTGTTATCCAGTATCTCTGCAATCTTAAATAATATTCTGAGAAAATTCTGTGATTAATATTATTTGTGCTTATATATTGCATTATAATATAAATGTAATAATCCTCTGTGATACAAAACCATTTATTTAAATTCATGTTAAATATGATGTTTGGCATATATACATATAAGACTGATTAATATATAGTTCCGGTAATGTAGTGTATCTTAATTTTTTGTACAACTTTTTGAAACGGGCGACCATTTTGAAGCATTACTTTTATCCTTCTTATCTTCAGCTAACTTGATAATGCTGCGTGTAGTAACACAAAAATTATATTCTAACGTACGGTTGTCTAAAGTGCTTTATTTTGCTAGATGATGAACCTATCTGACAGTAAATATCGCTCGGCGATAGTAAATTATTTAATTTATCCTATTTCTTAACTTAATTCACACTTTATAATATGTATTTGGCTTCTATGTATTATACATATGTACTATACTGACGCCCATCCGCATTCTTTCGGCGGAAACATACTCTTCCCTAATCTTCTTATCTTCCGGAACATTAGAAGCGTCCACGCAAGGGAAACTCTATTTGCTTAACAATACGTTAGGTTGAATAATCTATTGGTTTCACAATACACGTCAAGACGAATGCTATATAGCTCAGAATGCCTCTCGGAGCATGTAGAATATAGAATATTGCAATTTTCGTAGCCATGATAGTAAATAAAAGAGAGAAAAAATAGATATCGGACTAATATTGTATTATTAAAATCTGAAATGTAATGTAATATTGGGATAATTCGCGTAAATATTCTAAATGTCTTAACTTCATAGCATGTAGCTTTATCTTCAATCTTATCTTTCTTTCAATTCTGATAGAGATGGTTATAAAATGCGTATAATGCACTGTCATTTGACGATGAAGGACGATACGGATAAAAATACTTATGCTTTCTATCATCGCAATATTTGACTGCAATTTTTCCATGAATTGGATTTAACATTTTATATGCGTCATATAATTTTCTATAGAGTTCTAATTATGAAATCTAATTATTTATATTTTAAATTTTTTTAAATAAAAATCAGAGTTTTTCTTTTTGCGTACGCGTTTCTATTATTAATTTATATGTATTCTAATTTTATATAAACACTGTAATAGACAGAATATTATTCTACAGATGTGCTCAACGATAGAAATTTGTATCAGATTTTTATAGTACAAACATAATTGTAATATAAATTCACACTAACTAGATAACTGTTATCTGATTCACATTCGTTACCTGGAGAGCGTTGCTAATCAGAAGATCAAACTTCAAAGTATATCAATTCTGATACGTTCTGAATTATATTTTGTTTCGCGAAAAAAAAAGAACATTTTTAGTTGATTAGTGATTTTTTATTTTTACTCCTTTTTGAGAAAAATTCCAATTTTTATAAGAGGCATATATAATTTTTACTTAATGTGCGGATGAAACTTCTGAAATTTAAATACACGGTTTATTTCATCAGTATAAAATTCATTGACTTTGCAAATTATGTGCAATGTTTGCACTATAATTGATTGAATTGAATGGAAATGAAATGTAAACATTCGTTTTTTTATATGAATTAAATTTACATGTGATGACGTTGTGCATATGTCATCTCTATTTCTAAGAGCTCAGGTCTTTTTCGACAAATCCGAAAGTGATGCCTGATATTCTCGCTCTCATAGAATGTAACTTTCAATTATCTTTTCCCTTCAAAACTAGAAGAAAAGCTACACGGAGGAGTAGTGTCTGTTGAAGTCGGTTATTGTTATATCATGTATAATGCAAATATTTATCTATGCGCGTTGTACAAGGACACATTGACATTCTTCGTCATTATTTTTTTCTCTCTAATTTACATCTCTCTTTCACTAAAAGGATAATCATCTTTTCCACTGAAAGAATAATAAAATTCGAGTACGAGAATCGTACTATCTTCTTATGTCATGTTTGAATTTTTACATGCATCTCTCAGGATCAGTAGATAAGGGCGAGGCGGAATACATAGAGAGAGAGTCTTTTTACAATTAGTTTTCAGACTCGAAAGACTTTCTCATTTTCGACGATATATCTTATAATCGCGTTTCCGGCTCGTGAAAAAACGAAGAGAACGGTGTCTCATATATCGTTATCGTTATCGGGGTGGGGCTTCGATATCGATGAGGGTCCTCGGAATGAGGTTTTCCTATCAGTCGCCTCAGGTATATATAGGGCCCAATACGCGCCCTGCGCTCACTAGTGATCGGATTATCTTTTTCGCGTAATTTTATATTGTACCGTACATGTGTCCGGTTATTTCCATATCTGTAAATTTCTAAGTCTCTTATCTAAGTCGAATCTCCTGGTGACGATTCTTTATCGCATTTTGCACGCAGATTGGAAGTGGTTTCCGTCGCGCGACTAAGTCGTAACATGGCATAGCTTTTGTGCGACATATTGTCTTTTATATATATAAGCCTATTTCAGTGAGAAGCATTTTATTCTTTCATCGAGAAGATAAATCGTTAATACAAAACTCTGTCGGTGCGTTTGCGAAAAGACTTAAAATCTTTGTGTCTCGTTATCATCAGGTGACTCCGCTCAAGATTAAAACCGGAGAACAATATGGTCGACCATCATCTTTGATGCAGACATGCGATATGTATCGTCTGAACTCTTCTTTTCTCTTTGGATTCTCGTATCCGTGTGACTCTCAGTTGGAAGTGAGGATCTAGGCAGTGAGCTAGGCCGTAAGCTCTTGATAACTTGCCAGATCTAACTCTTCCAGCTCAGAGTCATACGGCTTCACATCATTGTAGGCCACAGTGTTGTTTCCAGGTTCTTCGAGAATCTTTTGCATCGAATCGTTCATTCCAGGGCGCAGCCCCTGGTGAATAGCGGGTATCACGGTTCAAGTGGAGAAGTGGTCTCTACGCTTTGTATGAAAGTGAGATTCAACTCCTCCAACTTATTCCTGATCCCCCGTAATCATCAGAATTTGACTGTGCGATCGATCATCTACTCTTTGTCCATAACTATCTATCTACTTATCTACGCAAACATCGATGTGATTATCCGTTGATCGCTGAACGATTGAGTGCTATCGAAGAGATAGACTATAATTACGAACTCTGTTCTTTTTGTATAATATCGTAATATTTAAGCTGTGCTCAATAAATTTAAGTTAAGATCAACGCACACACAATGATGATTTTTATTTCATGTTTCGAATTTATTTTATCTTAAGTTGCCCGTAAAACTATGATGTTACCACACTCTTGTTATATTCTACTTAATATATAAATGTATATTTATTATGATATGTATGTAAAACAGAATATTATAAACAATTAACAGAATTTTTTCAGAATATTTATATATATATATGTCTTTCCCTTTTGTTTATATTTGGCTTTCATGTAATATTAAAATTATTTTAATTTTTGTAAATCCCACATGTGTCATGTATTTATTATCACTTTTGTCCTTTTGATTAGATCGCCCGAATAGACGAGGAATGTATTAACGCTTTGTTGACCTTAGAATACTTGAGCCTTTTGTGCCAAGTAACACCAGCGGAAAAAGATACCGATATCGTATTTGGGCAAGCTCACCAAGGAATCAGATATCACGGCGTTATGGGCATTTCTACGGATCGTATTTCGGAATGTCCTAATCCGATTGAGCCTTTGGAAGCGAGGCCGATCATCGATGAGAGGATACATCCAATGTACTTTTCGTTCGACACTCTGAGCATTTTATCAAAATGTCAGCAGGCAGAACTCTTGTTCTCGATGTTCGCTGATGGTTAGGCTGACTTTAGAACATTATCAATGAATAGAAAACAGGAAAAAAAAAATAATCGGTCTTATCTTGCTAGATTCGGTACATATCGACGAGGATAGGGATAGCGCGAACAGAATTCTCATGGGAAACTTTTTGGAGCATATGAAACAGTTGCATAATAAAGAGTTATTGTTAACGTCGGCGGAATCGCAGAGATTCACCAGAATGCTTCTTAGTAGACCTCGTGAGAATAATTCACCATTGCCTTTTTTCATGCAAGGAGGTACAATATCAGATCCTTCAATCATTATAATGGCAATAAATATTTTGCATTTTTTCACATTTTTTGTGCGAGAAAATATGTTTTACAAATTTTAAATTTTATATCGAGAGAATTTTTTTTATATAACTTTTATCATTTTAGAGAAAAACTATAAAGATGATGCATCGGATATTTATCCGAGATGGAAGTGTTTCGTTAAGGGAATTAGCACGACGCATGTTATTATCACGATATTACCGGCGACTGAGAAAGATGTTCGTTTGATTACGTATACAGGCGATAATTGCACGAGTAATAATTCCGAGAAGAATTGCAATTCTGATATTTTCGATCTTGATATAAATGAAAAGATATCGTCTCCAACATCGTATGCAAAGGATACAAATTTACCCGACTTCCTGACGTCAGAACGCAGAGAATCAAAAAGTTTTAATCAACAATTCACTACGAAAGCTAACGAAGAACATAATTTTGATAATGCCGACAATGAGACGAGTCTTATTATTCCTGTATATGTGTATGATTGTTCGCTAGCATTATTAATCGATGCGCTGGTCGGTCAATTGCAAATGCCTCAGAATAAAGACATCTATCAGGATCATACTTTTAAAATTGGCGAGCAAGTTTGTGAAGATTTTATTAGTCTTAAATCAGAAAGCAACACGAAGCCTTCATCCCCTGAACCAAAGAGCGAGGATTCTGACAATATTTCTAGCGGTGGGCAAAAATTTGGAGAATTTTTTAGATGTAGCATGAATAATTTAAAAAAGAATAATGAAATCTCTTAAAAATCGACATTTTTATAATGAAAGTTATCAATATTAGTAAAGTGTTTCTAACCAAATTAACTATTTATGCTAGATCAACGAAGTTTGATGGAGCATTGTAAATTGTTGAGCTTGGCACATTGTCATTGTTACGTGGTTGCGGTTTACAAATCACTGGCATTACAACAATCATTAAGCTATGAGGATATGGAGTCTGCTGTAGCGCAGTGCGAAGAAAATCTAATCGAGATCAATATTACAAATTATCTACGATCGGTGTGCAGACATTTAAGCATGTTACCGGAAGACAGTCTACTCGATCAATTAAAGATCTCTGCGTGTAACGACGTTAAACCATTACATAGTTTGATTAAAAACAAATTTAAAAGGATTATGGCAGTTGCATTTAGACCTGTACCTGCGCATCCGGAATTTTATTACTGTTTACCATCGTGGATGTCAGAAAAATTGGTTCGTTTTTTTGTACATTCTGCATCCTTATAATACTGAAAATTCGCAGCATTTTGTTGCTTTACGAAAATTGTATGTTACTTTCAGGAAGTGGCATCGCAAAGGACAGATAGTGATGATGATTTAGATGAATTCACATGTCATTCTGAAATGCCGGCTCCAAAGACAGATAATTCTTCTAATCAAGGTAATACTTATAATATATTTTATTAAGATGGAAACTTTTATTACATTGTAGAACATGAAATATATGTACATATACTACTGTTTTTAATTTGCAGTAAGCCAGGCTGTCAATATTACATGGCCAGCCACGAATCTTCATAATGAGAAACTTTCTCATTGTAACTCCAAAGATTCGCTTACAAGCGATTTCGAAGAGGAAAACACGTGGAACACAAAGGATCAGCCGCTCTTTCTACATCTAAGTTGCTCAATTCGTTTCCACTCCGAGCTTTGTAGTATACCTGTTAAACTGATGCCTACTTGTTTCACCGAGATTATTCAAAAAATAAATGACGGCAAGGAGAGGAATCTCGCTGACTTAAGTCCGAACGATCTGAAAGCCACTTTGGACATCATTTGCTTGAACCTCCCGAAAGAGGTGTTGGAAGTGTCGTTGGAACGTTATCCCGCATTGAGAACAACATCTTATTGCAGCGGTTCGCCGGTTGATAGCATGCCAAGCGGTAGTAGTCCGGATGGGAACGCGAAAAACGAATCGATGCAGGAGAGAATACCGCAACCGCCTCAGCATCATGCAGTAATCGGCTTAAAGGACGAGATCGAATGGCTGCTGCGAGACGAGACCGCGACGGCACTTTTGGATCATCCTTCGCCGAGCGCAGACACGTTAAGATTCATAGCGCGACATGTGTCGGATTCTATCGGAAAATCCAGTTGTTTGATGGATAAAGTACCTTTACACTTTGTCTTTTCATCCGAGAGCAGCGCGCCCAAATTTTTGAAAGAATTAAAAAGTCTTGTGCTTGACAAATATTGTATTTATCAAGAAGCTGATCTATTTTATTTCATCAAAAAACCGGAAACAATAGTACTTGATACAGAAGCAGACACATTACATGTAGACGTAGAAGAACCGGAAGTAAAAGAAGGTAAATAATTATTTACAGATAGACAGCTCATTCAATACTTATGATGTGGAGTATATATTCTCTTGATTTATATATATATATAGAAATTATATCAATTATTTTAAAACATGTCTATATAAAATTTTATTTTTTGATTAGCAAGAAGAAATATCAACAATGATTCAAATAAATGGTCAAGACTCTGGAGATCCGCCAGGTTATTATTCTGAGATATCGAGTATAGCCGAAGGAAAACACGGAACGGATGATGGATACGAGGGTGACAGTAGCAATTCTGACGACGATTATCAGTGGCTGATAGAACTTGATAAGCGCAGAGATCGTTTGCCCAATTTCTGGCTAATTTTAAGCGTCGAAAGTAGTCATGTTAATGTCTACTTTCACTGCAGGTTAGTAAATTAATAAAAATTTAAAAATTTGTTATTTTTTCATTTGTTATAGCAACAATTACGTGTTATAAACGTATAAAAGAAGAGAAAAAAAAACTTATAAGAAATCACAATCTTCCACAGATTTTTGGAACTTTCCTCGCCAGAAGTGGACTGTTATTTGCAAATACAGAAAATGTTACTCGCTCAAATCAAAGCTATATGTCGGCGAGTAAATCAGTATTTACTTTTACAAAATCTTCATGATACTCGCATATGTGATCTACTGTTGGAACCTGAATCAACCGAAGATTATAATACTTGGAGAGGAGAAAGCAGCGGTGAGTCTGGAAATCTTTTTCAGAATCATACTTCTTTGACTTCTTCGAATGTTACACCAGGCATGTTCAGATGCCCCGTCATTTGGGAAGAACCTTTTAATCTTCATCCCCGCTTAAAGACTGGGCCTGGGAGATCTGGGTTATCGAGAGGGATCAAAGCTCTACATGGTGTATTAAACAGGCTCTCCGTTAATAATCGAAACAACATGTTTGTATATCAGGAGAATAACGAGAATGTATTTTATCTGCGACTACACGAGCAAACAAATGACGGGAAACCTCTACAGAATAAATTGTCCGAGAGCGATGAAAAGTTGGTCGTCTCGCGCAGTAACAGCGTTGCGTCCTTATCGCAAGCTAAAGGTATCGGCAGTCTAACGAACGATCATGTGATATCGAATGATACTCGACCTAGGGTTCGTTCGTTTGGCGAGAAGGAGTCCGATATCTTGAACAGATCCGGTGATTCAATTATTCTGATGGTACATGGAATATCGGAAGCTGGTCCGGAAGTCAAACGGGACTTGGTGCAAGTATTGCAAAATCGTCTCGATGATGCGGTATTAGAGGTGCTATCCGTAATGTTGGCGCGCAATCCGATGTGTAAATTGACACCGGCGGATGTGCACTTTATACAAAAACCATACAAGTCTCCGGAATGTATAGTTCAATTGTCAGTGCAACCACATTGTTTACCATATATAAATGCTTTAGGATATTATCTGAGACAAAATATACTACAATTTTTATATATACCGAAATATACAGATCTTGGCACACACTATCACTTCCAGGATTATTCTTCGCTAGATGGTATTAGAAGAAGGGTATCCGAATCTGACATTTTTTTGTATAATCAAAGTCATTCGAGTGGGAGTAAAGGTATAGCTTGCATCGCGTTAGCCATCATCGATGGCAAAGGAGAATCCGTAGTGGATGATTACAAATCGAACTTTCTTAAATTATTCAGAGTCGAAAATTTCGAAAATATTGTATCAACTAACGTTTATGACCATAAAAGCGAGTTTAAACCAAACGCAGAAGCATTGATCGAATTTCGAATTTGGAAACAAGGTAGAGTCAATCTGGAATCCTTAATTCTGAAATTGTCGTCTGCTGTGAAACATGGCACTTGGGACTTGGTCACAGAATATAATTTGCTAGCTACACCATTGACGGAACCAATAGCTGCCAATTCTTCACTGGTGATTACAGAAACTACAGTGAAAAATAAAGATGCACAAACGCCTTTAAAAATGTCACAGTCACAGAAAGATGTTAATAATTTGACGATTAATCAATACGAGCTCGGCGAGGAAGGAAAGTTGAATGAGATTTATCACACTACACTAGCGCAATGGTTTCAGTTTGCACTAGAAATGGGTGTTCCTGCTGTCAAGAAGCACGAAATAATTATTCACCACAGACATGCGATTCCTGTGATCGTGAGAGAATTACAGAATCTTATACGTTGTCAAGATCCAGACACATCTAGTAAAGTTTTCATTTTGCAAGATCGACAACCATTCCTGAACCAATACGTTGTCTTACATAAAGCATCCAGATGGTTTGAAGATATTCGGAATAGCTCAGATCAATCGACGGCAGAAAATACGAACCAAAAGAACATGAATTCACCCATCTATGTGCCGCATGAATTTAATAAAGACGAACAAACGACTTACATCAAATGTATTTTAGTTGCAAGAAATTTTCATCAATGGAAGGCATCTTTGAGTAAAGAAATAGATCCGGAATTGCTTGCTCCTAAAGGTCAGTCAAGTTTAATAATTTTTAATTTAAATATCACTTTTCAATACTAATTCTTTCATATCATGTTACAGATCAAAAACAATTGCAAAAATTTAATCCCTTAATATCGGAATCGAATTTTGTGCCTAGACAAAGGATATTGCTAGCTAAAATATCAAGTGATAATGTTAGTGTGCTTATTATAAAACAATTATGAAATAATTATTATAAGATTAATCGAGCTCTTTTTTCAGATAATTATCTATATGTACAACTGGTCTAAGGAGAAATCGGAAAAGTTAATAAAACAAGCAACGAATTTAGGTACGTGGCTTTCTTCTAGGTCGAGTCTATTCACCAACATAATTATGCAAAAGTTGGGTATATTTCATCACAAACTCATCCGGGAACCACAGCAGAGAGAGCACAGTTCTCAGTATTACCAAATCAACGATATGGAAAATCTTGCGAAATTTCCAAGTCAGTCGACCGATAATAAAGATTGGACGCGATCAAGCAACCGGGCGCAACCGACGAAGAACAACGCGTTTTCCTGGGTTCAAGTGGTCGGACAAGCGATGCGCGATGCGAAACCAAACGTTCCGCATCCTTATAACACAACAGACGCGATCGTCAAGGCTGCTTACGATTTACAGGATTTGCGACATCGGGAAAAGAAGATCAAAGGTAATGCTGATATATCGAATTTGCGTCTACAAAATGATCAAACATTAACATAACCGATATATCTCTCTTACAGAGGACCTGGAAAAATTGTACGCAATGTGGCAGAGTCGCACGCCCAACATATCGCTGAACGCTTTGAACACGTTCACGCAACATTCTCGTCTAATACATTTTTGCCATACGCCTCTCCTCTTTTTACCAGCCTGGCGCTTGCAGTCCGCCGCCACGAGAGATCATTCATTGACGCCGTCACAAGCATCGTCTAGTTTTAGTATGAATGGCAACGTGTTGCATCAACAATCGCTGCAAGTAGCGCAGTCGAGACAAGAAGCGACGAATGCGATTATGATAAAGTGGCATCAAGAACTCTGCAAATCGATGTTGTCCGAATATAAACAGTATCTGCAGATCTTGGGCTTCAATCCGATCCAAGTGGAGTCGCCGCATAAAACGTTTGTTCGAATTTAGCATTGCTGAATTTTAGTTTAACAAATATGTATTTTTCATCGTTAAACATCGTGTCTTTTACAGAGACGAAGAGCGTGCACAGCAGCAATCTTATTACCTCAAAAAGTCGATGTTGGGCGGCATTTTATTGTTCGAAATCCACTTGTCGCAACCATTTTTTATCGTCAAATTGCACATCATCGAGTGTAATCGTTTGCAAACGAAGACAAGTAGCGGTATGGTGAACCAGGTAAGAAAAATTTTGATTATATAAAGTTTAATTATATAAAGCATTTAAATGAGGATGTACTTTTTACAGTTTGTATTAAGCTTCGTGGACGTTTGCGACAAGATTCAAATCAATATGCATTTGCATTCGTTTACGTACGATTTTCATTTGCGTTGTATTCATTCTTATATTGCTGGAACTGGACTGTGGTCCTTGCAACAAGGTTATCACCTCACTCACTTCATGGATGACTTTATTAAATATTACAGTAAGGCACCGAATTATGCCAGGAACTTGATATATAGCGGTAAGCTTTTTGAGAGTATCATCTTGACACTTCGTTTTATTTGGTAATGCATTGTAGTGAGACTTAATGTTATTATATTTCAGACGTAATAACGATACACAATATAGCGATACCAGCACGTACGTTATTTTCGTATTTACTTTCACACGAGAAAGAGTACAGTATGCGCGTATTCGTAATGTCCGACGAGCTCCAAGAATCTCACGACAACGAATACGTCTTAATTAAATTGCAAAGTACTCCACTGGTTAGTTATTGCGACGCTCATGATACCAGATATACTGACGACTTTGATGTAGCGCTGATCGTGTCACGTGTGGAGCAATCGCCGCAACTGGAAAAGACTGAGATCACTTTGAAATATTATTTGATGCTGACGAGCAAGAGAGAATTGTATCCGAAAAGAGAGGTGGAGAACAATAAGTTGGGTAAATTTAGAACTGTATATAGTGTGGGTAAGTCCACAACCGGATCGTATACAGAGAACTCGATGGTCGAGTCTAGTTCGGTATTGCAGATACCAAAACCATTCATAAGAGACAATTCCACAACGGAAATATGCATCGATCAGCAGGAGAGAACAGTTTTCGATTCAAATGGCCCGACTATTAAAGACAGTGATGTTAAAATGGCGAACTATAATATTCACAATAATCTGGCGCCCACGCCTCCACCGGTTCCGAATTCTCCCCTAGCGCAAAACTCCAATGTCAATTCATCATCGTCATCGTCGCCGCACTTGGTGCAGATTCGTCAGGAATCGGTCAACTATCTCGGTTATTATTCGTCGCACGAACAGCTCATGCAACAGATGATCATGTCACAGGCGCATGCTGCCCGTCAACATATAACAAATATGGTGGAACGCGGCGCATTGCAGTGTCGAACGCATTTACTTTGGGATAAACTTTTGGAAAATAAGTCTTCGATGACATATACAGAGTTCAGCGAACTTTGTTCGTTGGCTCATATAGAACCCTTGCCAAATCTCGACCCTAGGCTTGGTCCGCTCGTCAATCAACCTGTCTCTTGGTATCAAGCTTTATCCAAAGTGTTACAAAATAAATATCAGGAGCATCACAAACAGTTTATCACGTCTGATGGAAACGTTACCCATCATCTTATATTACATCCGACTCTTCTTCAAGCGTTCATGATGCTGACTATCGATTTGCATACATCGAGAGGAGTAAGTATTCCCATATAATGTATATGAACTCTATACAGATATGATTTATAGAACGCATATAGTATTTAATGCGAGATTTAAAATATCAATAAGACGAAATTTTATCACGGGAAAAATCGATAAATTAATCTGATATTTATTTCAGGACTTATGCGCCGTTTACCGGAAATCCACAGAAATCAATATACCGATGAACATGGAAGACGTTTATGCTCTAGTCGAAGGTTTTGTAAATGCTTGTTGCTTCCACTTGTGGATGGGCCTTTGCAGCCAGTGATAACACATTCCGGTCGTACAATGCGACGAGAACATGCATTGCTTCTGAAATTTTTGATGTACTTATACAAAAATGACAATGGGCAGTGTGTATCATTTACTGATTTAGCAAATTACCTTCTAAATCGGCACATTAATTATTAAAATTATGGATTATTACACGACGTTGTAAATATGAAATATATATTTTCATGTTACATACATTAATTCTCATGTAGTTAATCTTGATAATAATAATAATTTATTCGATAATACATAAAATTAAGCTATCTTAAAAGGAGACTAAGAATTGTAAACGCAGCATTATCAATTAAGTCTATTCTCAGGAAATTCAAAAGTTAGTATAATTAAGGACTCTGTGCAATAACAAAAGAATGCAACTTTTTTTTTATAAGAAATACAACATTCACTTTATTCTGCGATTCCTAATCAATAATTCCCTAACAATTTCGTAAGGAGCTCAGTAACTACATAATAACGGTGCCTGTGTACGGTGTTTCGCCAATATTGTCCCGTTCGATGTGTTTATAAAGTAATGTCTGTTCAACTGGAAACTTTATTTCGTTTAGATCTCAAAAGAAAAAAATTACACTTGTTTAACATCACATTTCGAATGATTAATATTAAAATGATATTTAATTATCATTAATATTAAGAATTAGTCATAATTATTAATACTAATAGTGTACAACCATACATTTTTCAAGGGAAGGATAGCGTTCATATTGTTGTTGAAATTTTTTAGTTAGGCTCAATATCTCTCTCGTTCGCTTGCGCTCTCTTATTTCGTCACTTTCTCTTTCATTCACGCAGGCACTCGTCCACTTATACTTTTTGCTGCTTTTTTTCTGGTAAAGAACCAGGCTACCGTTACCACCGTTGTATCTCTATTCAAACTATCGAACCGGTTAAAACATATCGCTGACTTCAAAGAGTGCAGTATATTACATTTTTTCATCCTATATTATTTCTTATTGTAAACTAATGTACGTAACTATTACAGTTATGTGTGAATCTTATCTTTATCTTATCCTTATCATAAAACTGAACTAATTTCTCCTTATCATTCCTTGTTGGGAATTATCGTTAAGCTCAGCATCTTCCTCCAAGATCCTCCTCTCAACAAAATAAACCCTAGCTTCGGGTATCATTGACAATTATTCTCACGTAATTACATCATAATCAATAATTATATACGTATATACATATTCGTGTATCTATATGTATATATCAAGTAAAACGAGTTTTCCTTTAGATCTTGAATGAAGACCAAGCGTGTCACCAGAATGTCATCGCAATTAGACGATGCATAATCGCATGAACGCATAATTATACAAGAGTGAGTTCTCATAACGAGTTTACTCTGAAAACAGGCAGGACAACACATGTACGATAAACTGCTACAATATACGATACAACAGCGTCCCAGCAAGCTTATGCAAATCCAAATCCTTCGCTGCATTCGTGAATCGCCTTGAGTAGATTCGTACGCAGTTTATCGTACGTCTCGTATACCGGCAAATCTAGTTGATTGAAACTGCAATTGGATAATATATTTTAGTCGAGTAATGTTGCGTCTTTTAGATCTAATTTTAGCTTATGCACATTTAGGAAAACTTGACGAAAAATATTCTCTTGTTATACTGACCAGGTATGGGCAGACGGAAGTCTGTCTGTTGACCTATCCTCTCTGTGAATTTGGAATTTTTGTACGCCGTTCATGCCTTCTAACGCGGCGAAACCTTGCAGTGGCACTTTGGACGTACCAGTAACAAATTGCAAGAATTTTGCACGATCTGCTTGATCAAAACCTCGTAGAGCACGCCAGAACCATTGAATCTATTTTTGATAAAAGTGATATGACATATATAACTCAATTCTTTTTAAGACAAAATCGGACATAATATAGTAAAAGAAAGAAATATTGAAATGTACCTGTAAAGACGTAGCTGTGTACTTATGATACTCGGTGTTTGCTTTAAGGTCCTCGATATCTACATTAGGCAAACCGCTGATCAATAATTCAAGTTCTTGTTCGTTAAATATGGAGATCAGTCGTTTAGGTATAATATCATAAAAGCCTTCTAAGAATGCGTTTAATCTGTAAGAGAAAGTTTAACATATAAATATAAGCCTAATAGTGATTAAATAAAAATGTATTGAAGCATATAGTATCGAATTCAATTTTGGCGTTTTATATTCACTTACTGTTTACGAATTGCTCCAGTCATCTTCATTTGACATACAAGCCTGATATACTCGAGTTTGGTCTCTTCTGTAACAACTATATTACGTCCATTTGGTATTAAATCTCGCACATCATTGACACCGAATTCGTTCACCTAAAAACAATGCACATAATTAAATATATAATAAAAATATAATAGTGCTAAAAATTAAATAATTAGTTGTTTACCTCTGTGGAGAATGTTAACTCGTATCCTAAGTCGGAAATGTTATGCTCCGTGAGATAAACGAGTCCTTTGTAAAAACTATAATCCTCGCTTTCCATATCTGTGTGCTTTACGAGTATGCCAAGTATATGCTTGTAAAAACTACGCGTAAAGTAGCACTCTAACAATTTATTATCATAAATAGCCTTAGCTGCAAGAATAATGTGAATAAGAACATTATAGAATTGTCTTTTCATTAATCTGATAAAAATTAAATCGCAAGGACTTACCAATTACTCGACCTACAAATTTATAGTAACACAAATGATTCGGATTACAATGCGAAGATGAATTTATCATGTATGTAACTCGATCGCCAGGACTGACTGTGAACAGAGCGTACATCGGGTTGAATATTTCCCTCGAGATAATGACGTACCACTCTCTCAGCAAACCTCCAGCGTCTTGTCCTTCTTCGCCTTTCGTTAAAGGATTAAAATATGTATATTATTCGTTTGTTTGAGAAAAATTCGTTTATGTTTTTCAGGATAAACATTAAAAGATCTTTACCTTCGAAGACGATGTAAAAGCGATTCTTCCATTCATCGGCATTTCTTCGATGAAGTTCCCTGAACGAATCTTCGAAAACATGACTTCTACGAACGTGGACTGCTAATTCTTCCCTACGTATACCCTCATCCATTCGTTCCAATTCTGTCCTGAAGTAACGTCTCTTCACATCAAAGTCTAACACCCTCGTATGATCCACCAATACGGAAAACGGCCCGTCCGCTAAGTGTGTAGTTGTTTGTCGTAGAATTTGATTGAGTACAGTCCTATGCGTTTCTGCAAAGATAAGATAGATGTTATATTAAATGGAATTTATGGCAGTCCTTGCAGTTGTATGAGATTTTATTCATTAGAATCCAGACGAAATCTAACGTAACTTGACTGTTCGCGTTAAGTGAGAGATAACGATTACAAAAATTATTACATACCGGCAAATTTGAGGAACTTTAATTGATCTGGTGGCAATGTTTTTTGTGTAGGAGTTGGAGTCATATCCCAGGAAGCATTGGTGGGAGCTTCCGATTGAGAAGTACCTTCATTATCCGAATATATCGGAGAGACTGGTGCCAAGTCTGGTACAACTTCTCGATTCTCGCTTGTCGTATTAAGACGACTGTCACGATCTCGAGACGTACTCGACGAAGAGTGCACCAAGAAGAATGCTTCTACCGCAGGCTACAATATTTCATATATATACAACACAAATAACAATAACTAATATCGATCAATTATGATATAATAAATCGATGACAACAAAATTTTAAGAAAGAAGAGAAATGAGAAATATATATTTTTACCTGTAAGACAAGGACGGCATGATGATCGGGAGTATATTCTAATTCGAGCAAGCAAGCGCTAAGGGTTTCCCACAAGTTATCTAATACTAAACTCTCACTCAACAGTGGAAGTGCAGGTTTCTCCTCGTCTAAAGAAAAAAACCCAAGTATGGATTAAATGCATTACGATAACAATAACGATATTTAATAAGTTCAATATCATACCATTGCGAGAAGAGGACGTTTTTAAATTATCAAGATTCGAAGTATTTGCTTGCGTTGTATCCATAGGAACATCGGTGTCCGCATTGTCGGCGGCTATTAAAAAGGTACGTCAACATTTTCAATGTAAGTGGTACAATTCAAAATACATAATATATTTACAAACATGATATATGAAGCAAAAATAGAAAAGTACCTGTTTCTAATACATTACTTGTGCTTGCGTTCAGGACTGTGTCTGATGTTTGATTAACTTGAAAAAGAAATTTACAAATATCATAAATGTTGTATATGTATAATTTAAATACGTAATATACATACAAAATTTTAGTAATTCATTGCAACACAAGTTATAACAATGTCATAAATATATAATACCTGTTTTCTTGGTGTTTGCTAAACGTACAGCTTCCCTTATTTGCACGATAACTTTAAGTATTCTCAAGAAGAATGCCTGACTAGATGTTTTACTGACAAGAGCAGCCATTGATGGTAATTGAAGATCACTTCCGGCTTTAACCTTGCTCGGTGCAGTGACAACTACATTTTCATTAGTAAATCTGAAAAAGGAAGCTTTTTATAAGCAACTGTTTTATTCCTTAAAAAAAAAGCAAAGCATAGTTTTTTGACACGCTTTTCTATTTAATTGCAAAATACATGTTGCATGCTACAAATATGTTTTACCTGTCTAATAAAATTCCTCGCCCGTTTCCTCCGCTGGTCGATGGCTGATCTTCTAAGGAATTTCTTCGACTCAATTCACGATTCAGTACCTTGAGTTCCATCATCAAATCGTTGATATGTTCACACACCATATTTGCCAATTCCATCGCACCTTCCAGAAGTAATTTTAATATCTGTTGAACACACAAAAGAGACAATTGACACTGTTGTTTCATTAAAATGTCTTTTATATTTAATCTACATGACGTAAAGAGATATGTACACACCAGTTGTCTGGTAGGATCAGGGCAATGAGACAGATTAAGTAGTAGTGCAGTCGCATCCTCGAGTCCGTCCTCGGAGCAGCTCTTACTGGTTAGTACTTGTACGGCAAGCTTGAGATGTCCTTCTGGCGCGGCGACGCTTTGATCCTTCCCAACTTCCGTCTTCTTGTTTTTCCTATCGGCACCTGCGTCTTGCCGCCGATAAGAATTAACTTCCGTCAAGCCGATGGAGATCAAGGACAGAAGTCGCAACAGCTTATCTGTCAATTGACTGCTTCGCTTGATTACGGACCAGTTGAGCATTGAGATGAGTTGGCCGAATGCGGAAGCTTCAAATGTCGTTGTGCCATGTTCCGGCTCGTTTCCCAGGTTTGTATTCGAGTGAGTCCTCGCGACCGACTTTCCTTTCTTGGACGCGCACGAATCCAATTTCAGAAGCAAATCCCAGAAATCTGGAAGATCGCTCCTTCCTACCTTGGACGCCGACTTATTCTTCGCTCCACCTTCCTCCTTGTTGCCGCTTATATCCTTTTCTTTACTGCTATCCTTATCCTCTAATTCCTTAGATTTGATTGGCACAAAATATCCGGGGAAACTCTTAGCTAATGATATCAACAATTCTAAAGTATGCCTGAAATTCGAACAAAATCAAAGATACTTTTTATAAAAAATGTAATAAAAAAGAGATTGCATTTTCTGAGATTGTAATCTTCTCTTATTTAGATTCACTAACCTGCAAACAGTGGGTGCTGCCTGCGGATGAATTGCAATAATGTTTCCTTGCCTTTCAGATTTCTTACCAGCATGGCGTATTATATGAAATACGTTAGCTCTGCAACCGAGTGCAGCATCAATACTAATATTTA